ACAATTTCTTTTTCTTCTCTTTGAGTTCATTATTCCCACAACTCAGTACCATACATCAATATCGGTATTATTATTGTGTCAAGTATGTGAAAGGCATTATGAGCATATAGATATTGTATTGCATGTTAATACTATACTCTACAGTGCTTCACGTGCAGTAGTAGAAGGGACAAAGAAGCTGTATTCCAAATTAGCTAAGGAGTTATCATTAGACCAAGGTATTTACACGTTCTAACAGTCTTAACTGGAACATTGTTATGGATCCATCTTTCATATCAAGAGAGTCGTTAACCCGATAAATCCCTGACATCCTGTATTTATGAACTGTACCAAACACAACTTTTTAAACTCGTAGGTCCAAAATAGGAAAATGTTTAAAATGTAGTGCATGTGAACGCTTTAGTCAAGTCCATGTTCGTGAGCATTGTGCTAACAGGCTGAGACACATACGCAGAGTCAAAGACCACAAGCTTCTGGCTGCCTGGGGCACACACATCAGTGTGGGGCTTTAGACAACTGGACCAGTTGTGCCTCCTTCTCAGATAGAGAGCTACGCTCTCAGTTTTTGTCAAAGTAATCTATAGATGACAAACGCTAACAAGAAAAATCTTTTCACATTCATTTGGACAGAAAATATATCGAATGGGAAAACAGAACAAATTTGCACATTCACAACATGTTGTCAAAACAATTAAAGCACAGTTAATCAGTGCCGGTAGGTAAGGATGTACCCATTAGTTCACCCTTACTGATGACTGCAGATATCAGTACACCATCATATCATGGATGTCATAATATTGATACAAATTAGGTCCTGGAGGTATCGAATGAATATCTTTGATTGATTTTCTAAGGTTTGGTTTGGTTTGGTTGTTGTTTAACGCCGCACTCAACAATATTCCAGCTATATGACGACGGTTTGTAAATAATCGAGTCTGGACTAGACAATCCATAGATCAACAACATGACCATCGTTCTGTCAACTTGGATGCGATATGTGTCAACCACTTCAGCGAGCCTGACCACCCGATCCCGTTAGTCGCCTCTTACGACACGCATGGGTTGTGGAAGACCAATTCTAACCCGGATCTTCGCGGGTCCAATGAAAATTGGAGTGGGTAATAATTTAAGTATTCCCATAGATCATGACTTGGTGTTATCGTCACGTTATGGCTGAGAGTGAGTGAGTGAGTTTAGTTTTACTCCGCAATATTCCAGCTATATGGCGGCGGTCTGTAAATAATCGAGTCTGGACCAGACAATACAGTGATCAACAGCATGAGCAGCGATCTGCGCAATTGGAAACCGATGACATGTGTCAACCACGTCAGCGAACCTGACCACCTGATCCCGTTAGTCGCCTCTTTACGACAAGCATAGTCGCCTTTTGTGGCAAGCATGGGTTGCTGAAGACCTATTCTACCCCGGATCTTCACGGGTCTTATGGCTGAGATACTGCCCTGGTGACGTACAATTTTAACTCGCTCATACTCAAGACTTTTACAGAAGAAATATAAATACTACATTTATACAATTGATTTGCACCTTTTACGATCTTGCATTGGAAACACAATAAGACAAGGCGATCGGCGTTCAACAACATTTTAAAAAGATGAACATGGTCTTGCAGCTAGTGAGTGAGTGAGTTCAAATTTAAGTCACGTCGGCAGCATTTCAGCCTTATTGTGACTTGATCAAGGTATACAGTTTTACGATAATTTTAAACAATTCAAACTAAGAGCTGTCAACATATGACAGTAAAATAACTAGATGATCACAGATAGAGAGTTAGGTATGTAAATCTAAAAGGTTTTAACTATAGAAGACATTACATTATAAAAAAAAAAAGCTATAAATTGCCAACAACTGAAGGTAGATCACCATACTAGGGACCATGGGGACCTACAGTACATTTGCTTAGTTTGTATGTTTCGGGACTTACGTACCCTTTCAGGGGGATAATAATTTTACGATGCTTCAACCCTCTTTCATCCACATACAGTCTCAATTGCTGGTTTAAACTACCAATTATAAAAAATACATCTGTCTTCTAAACATAAAAAAAATCACAATTTATCAATCAGTTCTATGTCTTTTAAAAAGACAACAACTAAACGACAATTAACGTCATTAAAAATATCTTTAACCGTTGTTACACTGAAATATGTATCCCTTATGATGGAAAACATCACAGTCTAGCAAGAAATGGTCTTGTAAATGTGATCTCTATTTTCAGCATGCAGAATACTAAAATTGTCGATTCCTCTAGTGAGCAATATTTCATGTCACCTAAAAGACATGTAAGAGGTAACATATCTTTTACGGAAGAAGAATGCTAATAGATGCGTAAAAATATACAAAACGCTGAACAACAGGGTTTGTAAATCATTAACTTGTGCATCCTCCAATGCAGTGAATGCAATATGATTGGTTTCGTGTACATACTGTGGTGAAAACACCATTGCAGCCCGCATCTGGATTGATTTCAAAATCATTTCTCACAAGCGAATTGACTAAAGAAGTAATGCTTGATACAATTTCAGTTCGATACATTAATATTTAAACTGCGTGTCGGTGCCGATTAAAACTCAAACTAATTAACCTTGTAATAACAATATCAACAAGTGAGGCGTGAGAAGCTGATGGCATTGAAGACCATGATTAACTACCTGTCTCTAAATATCTTTCATAGCATGGGAACATGTTATGTGTAATTGCATTAATTGTCCTACATTGGAATTGCGGGGTACACGATGGCCTCCACAGTGTGATTTGGATTCATTCAAAATCGTGATTACTTCTTCCATACAGCAATGTTCTATTTAGCGCGTGACAATTAACAGTAGTATTAAACACATTAACACGTTCGCCTCATTTAGACTTAGGTGAATGTAAATTAGTAGGTGCTGGAGACATTTTATGCATCAGGGGCTTACTCTTTCAGGAGAAGTGTCTGATCAATTGATATTCATTAATATTCAGTGTAATGACTGAGTTAAACGTTAGAGACACATCAGTAGTATTTCAGCCATAACGGCCATAAAGGATTTTGCATACATAAAAGGTACATATTATTTATAAAATCCAGTCACCAAAGGACTGTAAAATAAGTAGACTATCACAGTTGTCAAACTAGGCGTCATTAATATACGGACATATAATATATAGCATATGTAAAGAATAGTTTCCCAGAAATTATAGAACTAAGAGTGTCATCATAATGTTTAAAGCTTTGATAAACGTGACACATCGTGACATACAGACAAAAAGTTTAAACAGCACTAGGAAACATCAGAAAGCTTGCGGAATCGCATTCGATTCCTCTGCTAGAGCTCTGCGGAGTCCTGGGAGATCCACCTTGTGCTTGGTGACGTGTGTAGACACGTCAATCGAGTTCATCCTCGGCATGTTCAATTGGGTTGAGGTCTGGTGAGCATGGGCATTCCATCCGCTCTACACCCTGCTGCCTGAGAAATTCCACAATGATCCTGGCTCTATGAGGCCATGACGTTGTCTTGCAGTAAAGAGGGTCGACCATAAAGCCGTGCAAAACATGCAAGAATGGTACTGCTATAGGAGCCAGTATATCGTCCCGATAACGCTGTCCGGTAAGATTACTGTCGACCACGTGCACTGGAGTACGACCAGTCGGAGTTTATCCCTGCCCAAACCATGACTGCCCCTCCCCCCCCCCCCCCCCTCAACATTTTGTACTTGTGCAATTGTGTAAATTCATGTTGTCAACACCTTTGTTACACATTTTGACGATTGTTTGAACACGTTAGGTAACAGACCGTCGACGAGTCGACAACAAACACTGAGAATAGAAATGTTTTACATATATTTCACACGAAATAGATCACATAGGAACATGTAGCAAATTCTGAACCATATGGTAAGGAATCTGTCACGTAAACAAAATACCGCCAAAAAGAGGAAACATTTAATCCAGTATCATAGTCATGAATCACAATTTGCCAGAGAATGAAGACGAAAGAGGTACAAGCATATAGGGGACAACTGACGACTGGAATCCATAGTTGGTTTGACACATGCAGCCGGTGAAGATGTGCTTACTAGTTAGCCTACCCGTGAAGGTCCGGGTTAGAATGAGCCTTCAATAACCCATACTTGTCGTAAGTATACAATAAAGATGAAAACATTTTGAGGAGTAAAACCTGTCGACGATGGAAAGTAACAATACCAGAGTATCACAGATATGAATATAAAACTAACATTTAGAACTAAAACATTTTAATTAACGAAGACAATACGATATAAAACACGGGCTATAGATCGCCAAGAACTGAAGGTAAATCACCAGGGACTAGGGACCATGGTAGCAGCTCATTACATTTAAGCCTGCTGACGACCAGGCACCATAAGGGTTAAAACAGTACCAACATCAAGACACAATAAACACACACCTGTACCCGTGAAGGTCCGGGTTAGAATATTGGTCCGGGTTAGAATATTGATCTTCAGTATCCCATGCTTGTCGTAAGAGGCGACTAACGGGATCGGGTGGTCAGGCTCGCTGACTTGGTTGACACATGTCATCGGTTCCCAATTGCGCAGATTGATGCTCATGCTGTTGATCACTGGATTGTCTGGTCCAGACTCGATTATTTACAGACCGCCGCCATTTAGCTGGAATATTGCTGAGTGCGACGTAAAACTAAACTCACTCACTCACTCACTACTAGTTAGCCTGCGATGATTATGGTAGATATTAGTACACTGTCAAATCATGCGAGTAATAATATTGATACATATAAGATACTGGTGATATCGAATGAATTAGTTGTCGGTAACCCTTATGTAGTATTAACTGAACATAACAATTGTAAAAGTTTCCTTTTACCCGAAAAAGCAAACTATCGATTCACTCTATTGTATTTTGCCTCAGTAAGTAGCGTCTGTAACACACCCTTTACACGCATTCATCCCTAGTTCACAAGCAACCCCTTTTCAGTCTCCAGATGTCCTCCTTTCATTTCCAGATGGGAGAAGACGCATGAGTGCATTTCAACAATCAACACCATTATCTATTTACATAGATGTGTCAAGGACGTCATGTTTGTCTGTTGATTAAGGAACTTATTTACTTATGAAATGATGACATGCTTGCTGGATTAGTATGATTCTTCATACCTATCTCTAATTAATTTGATACAGAAGGCATCGGTCTGTACGAATCTGGTATTTTACCAAATGAATGAAAAATGAAGTAGCTGAAGGTCGGGGAAAATCTTCATGATTGACGATCTAATGTGGTTCAGGCTAGTGCTGTATACAAAACTTGGCTTGTGCAGTACATCGATGTATTGACCCAGTCCTTGAAAACCCCCAAGCTACATCAAACATCTTTCTCGCAAACATAGAACTTCGTTTCCGACACCTTCCTGTCTTGCCACTGAAACGCATTGTTCGGTCTGCTTGCCACAAGGAAGTCTTTGTCTCCTGTGACATTCGTCGGGAAACCTGGGCTCCAAGCGAAATAGGTCACTGGTCGACTGTCGTGGTATACCCACTGCCCTTCAGTTGCAGCATCTGATCCATCAATGAAGTAGCTACTTGCTCTACTACCTGAAAGGATTAAAGAATAATGTCACTACAGAGTTTAAAAATGAAATATTCGTCTGGTGTCATTACTTATTTTCAGTGGTAACCTTTCTTGCCCTTTATTACATCAAATGGATTCTGCTTCTGAAGACAATCAAGACAAAAAATCCTCTTGCATTCGGGCTCTATATTTTTACTAAGGGTACATTGCCGCATTAAACTTTCACAACTTTATTTATAATTATTATTATTTAATTTTGGAAAATGAAAGTGAAAAACCATTAGGAAACCCTTGGTTGGTAAAAGGTTAGGGATATTTTAGATGGTACCGGATTATCGTATGTATTTGAAACCCGTCCTCTTATACAACCCAGTGTCTAGCTGCGCAGGTGGAATAAATACTTAAAGGCCAATTTATTCAAAAGTGGAGAAATGATGTTGCTTTAAGCTCAAAAGGATTTTATTATCAATACCTTAAAAAGAATCCACTATTTGACACATTCCTGTCTTCCTCAAAGCGAAACCCTATTCCATTATAAAGATTAAGTACATCTAACCACAATCTACCAATAGAAACTGGCCGCCGGGAGAACATACAACGCTGTGATAGAACTTGTAAACTTTGTCAATCTACATCTATTGCTGATGAATTTCATTATATTTTTCAATTTCCTAGTCTTTGTGATGCTAGAAAAAATGTATTTATCATCCTCCCTAACAAAGTATTCAAGTCTGCAAAATTTGGTTATATTATTTTCAACTAATGACACACAAGAAATTATCATTAATTCATAAATAATTTGTATCATAATTATCATCCCTTATAAGAAACATAAACTGTAAGACTAGTTGCAGCCATCTTATATGTACTTTGTATTTATATATACTATACTGAGTCAAAATAAAACTTGACACTTTATATTTGTAAATAAAACTATGAATTGTTATAATAGACAGTTTTCGGGTACCATAATATACATCCCCTAGTATCGATTCAAGAAAAACGTCACCACAGCACATTAAACAGCGTCACCAAACACCCCATAATAGTGCTAAAACGGGTTTTTCACGTGCCACTGGTCACGTGATCTTATCACTGCCCGTGCATTCGATCGCACATGTTCTCATCAACTGTACAAAGTGAAAAAAGAACAGTCAGTTCTTATGCCGCGCCTCTCAAATGTGCAGCGTAAGTTGAGCTAAATGTTGGCAGCGGGAAGGTCAGTAAGTGACAATGGGGTGCAACCGTCGGACTGTTTATGATTTTCAGACGCGACTGCAACAAACTGGCACCACTGCTGATCGCCCTGGGCCAGGTCGACCACGTATGACGACAAATTGCGTTACGTCACCTCCGTAATCGTTTTTTGGTGAGTGAGTGAGTTAAAACTTAAAGTCACTTTGGCAATATTTCAGCCATATCGTGACTAAAACAAGTTATAGATTAACAACAATTAAAGATAGATTATAAACCCCTGTCAACGAAGGACAGTAAAAAACTAGAATATCACAGATATAAATGTAAAACTAGTAATTAAATCTAAAACATTTTAACTATAGAGGACAACACAATATACAAAGAAATAGGTTATAGATCGCCAACAACTGAAGGTAAATCACCATACTATGGAGCATGGGGACTTTCAGTACCGTTGCTACCTGCATGGACCCTAGCTGGATTAAGACCATCCCTTCAGTCGATTGCGATTGTAGGCAAATTTAGCCGAATTTTAAAATAACAAAAATACAACCTAACGAATAAAATGTATGGTTCAGCTAAATTGACATTGAAAGTTTTGGGACTTACGTACCCTCTCAGGGGGAAAATAATTTTATGATATTTTAACCTAATCGTTTTTTGACGGTTACAGGAACCAGAAATGAGCTGTTTAGGGGTCGATTGTTTGCACAAAGCATCCGAAACCGGCTGCGAGGTGCTCTCCTTCGTGTTCGACAAACCATAAAGCAGTACCATTTTGAAGTCATTACATCGACTTCACCGTTTGCCCAACGACACCTTCGATGGAGACTGGAATGAAATGGAGTTGTCTTCAGATTCGCGATTCGTGAACGTTATGCTCAGTGTTTTGTACAGGAACTTGACAGATTTGGGGGCGGAAGTGTCATGGTTAGGCTTTCTGTGGGATTGCCGGTTCCCGAGTTCTGGTTATCCGTGGGAACCTTAATGTTGTAGTTCACCGCGACCATGTGCTAGCCCCAGAACTTATTCCATTCATGGCAGCACATGGTCCAGGTCTGCACTTTCAACATGACAATGCAAGACCCCATACAGCCAGCTTGACCAGGAATTACCTGCGGAACGCAGGAGTCAAAGTTCTTGACTGGCCGTCACGGTCACCTGACGATAACCTCTATACGACATTCTTGTGTCCTTTATTTTATATATTATTTAATATATGATTGTGAAGTTTCTAGTTGGATTTATTATATTTATTATTATGCATATGTTCCATTTGTTTCTGTATATAAAATAATTGTATTAGCTCTTGTACCACCAACCGTGGGTATTTGAGAATAAATGATTGATTGATGATTGATTGATTAAGAGGAAGTGGGATCAGACTGTACAGTCGTCATTCGGTCTCCAAATCAACTGTTCCAATAGCAGCTAGTTATTTAAACCCTTGATTAACCAGTCAGAGAATATTGCTGTTTCAACACTTCGGCACCATGCATACCAGCAGTTAGGTTACCCAGTCCTCTTGCAGATCACCACATTTGTCGACATAGTTTTCATAAGCATTTTGGCATGTTATCTTTATGATATATTTGCATGGAAAGTTATGTGAATCAGTTGCAGACTTTGCTTTATACATGACTCTGGTTGCTGAATGGTTTATTCTGTTAGTTTATTCTTCTTGATCAAATGTGAAAGTCATGTGATGCGACATCCATCTTGGATTTAACATGTACAGTGCACACACGTTTTAGTAGAGTATGCAATTCCATATCGCTTCGTCTGAACCTGACCGCTATTACATTATTATTTTGATTGGTTGCCACCATGTTAGATTTTACATCTGATCTAATAAGGCTTCTCATAATTTTTGCTTCAAAATCTGTAATGGTTGTCGCGTAGGAATGATTGTAGGTTGACAATATGTTGCAACATCATATGTAACACATTCCGTTAGTAGATATACGTCAAACATATTGGTTTCTACCTGCTTCTGACCAGCCTACAGTACGACTCCATTGTGTCCAAGTTTGATGTGTCAAACTGACTTTTGTCTCAAAGTAAAAGCTTTGTCCCATGGCATTTCTTATGTTGTTTATATGTTTACGGTTATGTCAAATCTCGTATATGCGTGGGTCCTTTTAACTTCACGACAGTGTTTGAGGGTATTTTGACATGTATGCATAACATAAACACAATTTAACAAATTTTAGTAAGTTACTCCACCATTTCACACCAGGAGACATCTACATCAGACAGTTTGTGTTTACTGCATGCAGTAACCATGCCTGTGTGAATGGTGACACTGTCAAGGAATGTGGATCAAATTAATTCACCTTCAAGTAACCAATATTACTTATTTCTCGAATGCCACGTCATATGTATGCACGTTTGACAATTCATGGACTCGAAAGCATATATATATATATAACTGGACAATTCTATAGCTGTCATATTTGCGGGAAAAAAGAACAACAGCAAATCATCACATGGCCCCAGGACTTTACTAGATTGATCTTAGCAACAAGAAATGCCAAACTGTTTTGAAGCTCTGCTCCGGAAACGAGCAAATCCACGTATTTGATTTAAACATAGACAATGATCATTTTCATCGCCCAGTCAAACTAGTGCGCGATCAATTTAACAATGGTAAAGCTGTACTGAACGTTTATGTTTGGATTACGCCTCGATAATTGTAATTGCAGTTTGTGTTTAGCAATTAAATTGGTACATGTGAAAGGTTTCTTTTTAATAACAGAAGACTGCATCTCACACCCTGTCAAGAGGATTACATTCCCACCTGAAGAGGCTGTGACCTGCTTTACAAAGTGACTCTGCTTTTCCGGACTGTCAATGACAAGAAAGTGGTCTCCTCTTGAACTACAGTCAGCAAGACCGTAGGTGTAAAGGATCTTGTCGAGATGAAGTTGATAGCAGACATTGAGGAGACGGTTGTGGATGTAGCCGGTTGGACAAGCACCTGTGAAAGACAAGAACAATTATAATTTAGCTCGTGTTAGATTTATCTTGTGGTGGTTTAGTTGATACTTAAATCGTACTAATTAAGAACGAACAGAAGTCATAGAAACACCAAATATATTAATAATGTATATACAGTGTTAATGTGACGTCATGGCAACATTTCCATAACAAGGATGTCGTTGTATCAAGAACGCTTATTCTTAATTATCACATTACAAAATATGTTTTATTCCTCATCTTGTGTTGACAAATTCTTTCCTCCTTTTGGTCATCTCTACATGCACTCTTCCAGCACTATGGTGAGAGAGGGGTGGATAAGGTTGTCTGTGTTATCCTTATTTCATACAATTACAATGCATCCCCCCACCCCACCCACCCTCCACACACATACATACATACGTACGTACGTACACACACACACACACTATGAAGTTATGGTGCTATCTGATGGCATTTAGAGACTTTTTCTATAGAAATATCATTGATTGTTTTGTAACCTGTATATCAGCACAATTATATCTATCAACGCTACACAATTGAGTACGTAATTGCAATTGTACCTATAAATAAGTGAACAAAATTGAAAAATAAAAACAAGAAAAAAGAACGCTTATTCTTTATTCCAAGTAACTGTTTTAAACTGGCCCTTAACAAATGATCATGCACTTGTAGCAAAGGAATAAAACAAAAAACAAAAGAAATTTGCAATGTTGCAACTTACACAGGATTTTTGCTATCGCAAAACGCGCACCAGCATTGAAACGTTTTCATAAAAAAATGTCATTCTTAAATTCTTCCTATACATTTTGCCGGTCAAATATGGTATTGCAGTTCTCCTTTTACAGATGATACGTAAATATTTCATTTCTATAAAGCCTGCATTAATACATTAAGTCACAAGGCCAGCCGACCAGTCAAGTCAGACAATTCTGAAGTCAAATAGGTAGTGACAACGGGCAATTTAAGATCTTAAGTTGTTCTTGAAAGGCATTTTAGAACTCTGACACGTTTTTATGGATAACAGGGACGGTGGGGTGCCTAGTGGTTAAATCGTTTGCTCGTCACACTGAAGACACGGGTTCGATTGCCTACATGGGTACAATGTGAAGCCTATTTCTGGTGCCCCCGTTATGTTGGAATATTGCTAAAAGCGGCGTAAAACAAACTCAGTCAGCCAGTCAGCGTTTATGGATAACAACTTCTATATTTTAATCAAGACATTTCAGTGAGCTAATATTGCTCTTTGCTCATGCATACTGGAAAGTCAAAAGAAATGTTGTAATATTGGAAATGACATTTTGGCATCAATGGAACCTTTGAACCTATTTTTTAAAAATAATACGCCACTCGAAATGCAGTAACCGACTTTCATCAGAGAAGATAACCCTCTCCATTGTCCCCACGACAGTTTTGCCGCTGTTGTGTCAACTTGATACGTTCCCGGCGGTGACGCTAGTGAATATGGTCTCCTGGCAGGACATCGACAAAACAGGTTCCTGGTTTGAGACGTCGCCGAATGCTAGGTCACTGACTGGTCGCAGGTGGTTTCCTATGGTCACCCAAGCTGTTTCTCTGGCTCTCTTGCGAATAGGTCTTTACACGTGTTGATGGACGATATGACGATCCTGGCGACGCGTTGTTACACGGGTTGATCTACTACGTGGACGGTCATCAGTGCTGCTGGTGGCGTTGTATCGCAGTTCAAAGACGATTCTATCGTTCGTACGGTTGCAACCGAAGTCATTAGCAATGACTCGAGCATGTTGACCAGCGTGCAATAGCCTGTTGTGGTTGATCTGTCGTTAACCTAGTCATAGCTGCTGTGTTCAGAAAACAAGTGAACGATTGCCATTCAAGCCGGCAATTTATGCCTGAATACATTTATGATGCACGTGCATTTCGATTTCAATGTTGTGTTTGTGGGAACTTTTCCCTCTCCAAAAAACCAAAACATCTAATTCAATCTCAAACAATACTTTATTGGGCAATGCAAGCTATACGACCACGATTCATGTTTCCTCAAACTTGACTTCTGGTGTATATTTAAAATACTCCATTGATACTCAAATGTCATTTCAATAAGTATTTTAATGTCAAAACATTGAAGGATCTTTTTAATAATGTTAGTTCTCATTTAGTTATTGCCTTTTTAAAAGAATTAGATTTGTTAACAGATTTGTAAATAGCTAAATATTTTATTATTGGAAGTTTGAATTAGTAACATAGATTGTTAGTGGCTGTATCCTCGAGGGGGGTTAAAGTACTGTAAAATTATTGTCCTCCTGAGAGGGTACGTAAGTCCCAAAACATTCAAAGTCAATTTCAACTTTCCGTTTTTTAATCGTAGAATATTTGTAATTTTAATGTATGGCTAGATATGTCTTAATTGCTAACGGCTGAGGGGATGATATAAATCCAGCTAGGGCCCATGCAGGAAGCAAATGTACTGTAAGTCCCCATGGTCCCTAGTATGGTGATCTACCTTCAGTTGTTAGCGATCTATAGCCCATTTTTAGATTGTGTTGTCCCCTATGGTTAAAATGTTTTAGATTCAATTACTAGTTTTACATATATATATCTGTGATAATCTAGTTGCTTTACTGTCCTTCGATGACAGGTTTTATAATATATACATATTCCATTACAATGTAAGATGTTCTCGTCACAATATGGCTGAAATATTGCCGATGTGACGTTAAATATTAACTCACTCACTCACTCACTCAAATGTCATTTCTAATATTACGACGTTTCTTTTGCCTTTCAGTATATATGAATTAAATGTGTTTTTCAGACATCAGACTTAAAGCGTGTTCCATAATCCTAGTATTTCCCGATTGTCAATTATGACTGCACCGCATACAGACAGGGGAGACCTATTCGTACCTGACCGTTTTTAGTTGCATATTTATCTGTAAGTGACCCTATGGAATGCCTATTATATTCCTGCAGGTATTGTGTTACCTCCACTGATAACATTAAACATATGTTTAAACGTAATCAAATCTTTTGTGCAGACATCTGGCTGAAATACCTCCGAAATTGCAAAAATTCTGAAGTGCATGAATACACACTGCTTTTCTAGAAAGCGGGTGAAGGTAACTGTTACATACCACATTTGATCTCTTTCGCTTTTCATTAACGTACATATATTCTACTACTAGAATCCCATCTGGGATTCGAGGAGTGAGTGTTGTTTTACATCGCTTTTAGCAATATTCCAACATTATCACGGCCGGGGACACACCAGAAATGGGCTTCACATTGTACCTATGAGGGCATCGAAACTAGGTCTTCGGCACCTAATCACTATCACACAGACAGCGATCTAACTCGCTCTCAGCCAACGCAGGTTCCTACAACAGACGTCCAATAACTGCAATGTAGTCAAATCAAGACAAAGAACCTTGTGTACCCTCTAACAATGTGCTTCCAAAAGCGCTGAAAATATCGGATTAAGTACCTGAAGTAAAGCTTTAGTACACTGTTCCTGCCTCTTCATCTTGTCCGTCCAGTGGGCGACATGAACAACACATCATGGAGCTCTGACACTCGTCGATGTTGTAGTCTGTAGAATACAGACACACACGCCTCGGTCATAAGACACAGAGACACACATGCAACATCGCTTCTGAATGTTGGAAACTTCAGATAGGATCGTCACTTGTTATTAAGGACATTTCCAGAAGCTTTCTCCACTTGTTTCCAAACCTGTCTTGACTAAAGGCAAGGCTGAGTTACAAGATAACTCAGTATTAGAATAATTAATCCACACTCCATAACGAATATAACGCGTCATTGTCTTCCTTCTCCCACAGAGGTCGAGTAAATGATCAGTTATCCGATGCTGGCGCGTTATTTGATCGCATTGGCTTTTAAAGTAAACACTCACCCGTATCTGTTCCCATGCATATATAAATGGCTCCGTCTCCGGTTTTACGGCGTGAAAAACAACAATAAATTGACTGATTTAAATATCATCATTATTAATAATATGAAACGCTTTTCAAAGAGAATTCAAAGCGGCTTTGCATTAGCGGATACAATGCAGTGAATTGATATTTTGTGCATTCCTTAACATGTCCATATAAAGCATGTGATCTATAAATTGTACACCTTCAGATGTTGCTGCGTTAAAGAACGAATACACATCGTGAGTAAGTTGATATTGAGCGTCACATCGGCAATATTGCAGCCATATCGTGACGAGAAACAATTTAATTTATATCAATATTAAAATCAATAAATTTAGAACGTAAAACCTTTTGTCATCGAAGGACAGTAAAATTACAGCTCTACCTTGGGAAACAAGTACGCTTATCATTAAAAAAGTCACCAGAGACAACAGAACAAAGACAAAAAACACAGAGACAAAAAAAAGGGGCCATAGATCACCAGCAACCAAAGCATTGATCACCCACCATACTAGGGACAATCGACCTCATATGTAGTACTTTTGCTAATCAACTGCATGGACCCTAGCTTGATTTACACCGTCCCTTCCAGCTGCTGGCGATTAATTGTTGGAAACTTAAGCCGAAATTTGAAAATAACAAAATACTACGTTTAAGAAAACTGGTAATTTTAAAATTTTACTTTGAAAATTTTGGGACATACGTATCTTCAGTTTTGACACTGTAGAAATACTTATTCCTTGTTATGGAAAATCAATGCAGTCAAGCTAAGACATGCGTTTGACCGTAAATACACATTGTGACATACATTTCCAGTAAAAACAGGACATAATTATTGTTTTCACGGACATCTAGTGTCATCACTTCACGTTTCATTGACCCATCTGTTGTTCTACGTTACATGCCCCATTATAATATGTTTCATTATGGTATTTAGACTGATTTCATTGTCTAGCGTTGAGTCTGGACGCTGTGGAGGTCGGTGGGGAAGTCCAGCGGTTAAAGTGTATGTCATATCGCCGAAGACCCGCTTTGTACAATGTATGGATTCCCCACATCGGTAGAATTCCAGTGAAGCCTATTT